TTTTTCACTTACCATGATTTATTATCAGTAAATTATAGTACAAAATTAACCTTTCTATTTTCACAAGTTTGTTGTCATTCATATTAATGCCTAATCCATATATCTTTTAGTTATATTAATAGCTAGGCCTGTTCACTTGCAATATTTCATGATGACCTATATAGTAATCTAGGCCAAAGGCGGCCATGCTTTGCTGCTACTATGGATTTGGAGTCCATGACTTGGCTTTATTTCTTACATCAATCAATACCTGTCAATCAAGGTTATTATTTAAATTTCCTCCGAGTTTATTGATCAAGAAGTTATAGTATAATTTTTAATTGATTGTACTGGAGAATTATATAGTTCTTGTTACTAATTTTGTGATAGTATCTGCGATGACTAAACCGTTTATAGTACTTAATAATATATTATGTACCGTATTCATTCATTTTTAATGTTGTAATATTTAATATGTGATATTCATTGATACCATGTTTATTTTGCTCAGCTTAAATAGTTGACTGTCTAAATTGTCAAGCACCATCTGTAAGCAAACATTTATTATAGTATTCTAATAACAAATTAGGATTCAAGGACTCGGGTATACATTATAATCCTTCATAATATTAATGGATAATCTCCCTGTTGATTACTTTTATCATAATTGCTGTTTTCTTATATGTTTAGTGCTACTGATGGAACAGTTTGATTGCCGTGATTTTGATTCATGTTCTCAAACTGAAGGTCAGGGTTTAAAAGTTTGTCATTTGCTTGTGAAATATTGCAAGGAAATTATCTACATTTGTCTCTCTTTACTAAGGTCATAAATAGGTGATATTAATTCTTAATATTATACATAGCACCTTACTGTATAATATAATTTTAACATAGTGGACTTGTTTAATAACTACATATGTTATTTGTACAAAATTTGCACACGAAAGCAATACAAAAGTTAATATCAGGGTGTTAAACAAAATTATTTATGTTTTCCTCTCTTTATTAAGGTAATAAATGGGTAATATTAATTCTTAGTATAATATATATATATGACTTTACATTGAATAATATAATAATTTAATAAGTTATACTTTAACATAGTGGACTTGTTTTAACTATAGGTACATACTGTAATATGTTATTTGTCCAAAATCTGTACACAAGAGCACTGGGAAAGTTAATATCAGGGTGTTAAACAAAATTATTTATGGTTGCCTCTCTTTAGTTCATAAATAGATAATATTAATTCTTAATATAATATATAGCACTTTACATTGGATAATATAATAATTTAATAAGTTATACATTAAAATTACAGACTTGTTTTAACTAAAAAGGTACATAAAGTTATTTGTACAAATTCTGTACACAAGAGAACTAGGCTGTCATCAGGATGCTGAGGGAAATTATTTTATATTTGTCTCTTTTCTAAGGTCATAAATGGGTAATATTAATTCTTAATATTGTACAAAGCACCTTACATTGAATAATATAATAATAATAAGTTTATTTTAACATAGTGGACTTGTTTTAACTACATCGTGTTATTTGTACAAAATCTGCTACAGAAAAGTCAACATCAGGATGCTAAACAACATTTAATACAAAAGAGAAGCACAGGAAAGGGGTTGATTTGGATTTGGAATAGAGGATATAGTAATTCTGTATTCTTTTAAATGCTAGTGAGAAAAAGAAGTAAAAAAAGAGGTTGGGTACTCTCGCTCTCTCTGAAAATATTGCTTTGTAGTTGAGAATTATGCCTCTCCTACATACTAATAAATTTAGCAATAATCTTAACAATCCTTAAAATAAAAATCTGCCTTCCTTCTTGATACAAACAAAATTGACAAACTACAAGCTACTTTAAGTGCTGTAGATACCTGGTCGATTCGAACACTACAGTGCTTACAGCTGACAGTTTGAAATTTTCCTTTAGGTGGCTGAGTTTGTATTCTATAGGTGATTGATCCAAAGACCGGAATAATAATGTGAAACGCATAAAGGCCATGTTGGCATTAAAGTGCCGAATAAGACTAACATTAATATTTTACTTGAAATGAACTAGGTAGTAGGAGGTTGCGTTAGGGTTGCGATAAGGGTGAACCTTTAAGTTCTCAGGAAAACAAGAAGACTAGGGGTTGAGTTGATGGAGGTAAAATTTGAATTCTAATAAAAACAACTATGTAAGTATATTGTGAATAGTATGAGGTTTGGGTACAGATATAAAATTAGAGTATACTATTCAAATAAATTAGATATGAGGATATGAAGAATTATAAGAATTGTCGAATCATTCTTTATTAAAAACAATAAAAAGAATGTAACAAAACTCAGGTGTGACGTACAATACAAATAACTTAATTAAACCTATGCTTTATAATATTACTATCAGCATTTATTCCAATTTCATGGTGTCGTAGCTGGAGTTCTGTTATAACCTCTGTTTCTACAAGGTCGTTTTAATCCCATGCTTTCCAACCCCTTCTCCTAACAAGGTAATTTTGAACATTCTCCTATTCGAATAAATGTATACCATAATGTGATCATAAAAGAATATTTATTGTCGACATTACAACACATTACAATCAAAATGTGTGTCCAGGAGCTTAAACAAATGCTTATATGCAAAAGATAAAAGTAAAAAAATATTTAAGTGTTATATTACAGACATTAAACTTACAATATATATAAAAAAAAACAAGTAAAATGAAAAGAAATCATTCATCGTTGGAATGATTGTTAATTACCACTGAAGTTTTCACATTTTAGTTTGTTTTATCCCTTCCCATATCCCTTCCATTATTTCTTCATTAATCTCTTCCAAGTCCTTTCCAATATTCTATGTACTGTATAGATGCTTTTTCTATGGCTTTGATTACTATACAACAACTCATTTGAATATCATGGTCGTTGAATTATGAAATATGAATTTGTTTGTGCTCAAAGATCAATACAATAAGCAGGATGCTCAGCAAACATAGAAATTGGTCAATGAAGCAAAGTCTCAAGTCTCCCTCATAATCTATTTTGGACCATGAAGATCTATACAGAGAGCCTAATTATTCTGAAAAAAACTGCTAGTGTGTCAAATGTATTAAAGGTGAACATTGAATTCTTTGAAAAAACCAAAAAAAAAAACCAATAGGCTAGGGAGTCAAGTGAATAGAGTTGCTTATTTGAATTTATATGAAGCTAGGCTATTGAATCACCATCTGAAAAATAATCATAAAAACAATATGAATTATGAAAAAAAAGCCATAAATTCTTACTCATAATAAATAAATTTTCTAATATGTATGAAAATGGAAAATATTACTTGTGGTGGCCTTAAAATTTGTGGTAATGGGGAATAACTTTGACATACTGTTAAACATAATATATTGAAACATACAACTTAAAATGTACTTAGCTATCACTTTATCAGCTCGACCAATTAAACTATCATTTGTTTAGTGTCACGGGCTAATAAGTCCATCGCTATCGAGGTTAATCTAGTTTTATGTACAGTATCCATCCTTTCCATTAGTGTGCATCTTCATTGATTATTCATTAGACTCAATGAATCCATTGACTGTGTGAGAAAAATGTATTCTGAAATAAGGTAACTTTCATGTTGGTAGCCAACATTGCAATACTAAAATATTATTCAGTTCCACAAAATGTTTATTGTCATTTGCAAATATGACAATGTATTGCATAGTGAGAGTGGCACTTTACACTAGTTTATATAGCATACACATCAAATAATGAAATAAAAATGTTTACATATATAAAAATAAATGTAAACACAACCAAAAATATGCTCAAGGTCGAAAAAACCTTTATAAAACATCGCACAGGAACATTAAACAAAATTTCTGAAATGAAAATTGTCTTGTTCAAATTCAACAATGGCAAAATAGTCAACGCATTACCATCCACCATTATATTCAGCTCTCCAACGTACTCAACGATATTGGTGTGTTTTATAAATGTTTGATTTATTATTGGATATTATTATTATTATTATTATAGCACAGGGGAGGATGATATATTGGTATCTATACTGAAAGCATACATTGGTAGTGTAGACTGAAATGGAGTGCAATTTACATTACAAAGTTGTCAGATATGAAGAACGATTATTAAAATGTTAATAGTAATAATTGCCAAAATGTTACATTTGTCTCAAATATCACAGACAACATAGTAAGAGTAATCACGCTAATAAAATACTTCAAAATAAATGAGAAATTCATTATCTTCCACAATTTTAATTTGTTGATTATTTCTTATCAGAATATAATAATAATTATGTTTTTAAATTTAAAATATAAACCTATAGTATAATTTAATTAATGCACAATAATAAGGCTCAATAATTACACACATTATCTTTTATTTATTCAAAAATAATAAAATTTAAAATAAATAATTGAAAGGCTCATGAAATTTATTTAATCTATGTATATATTATTTAACTAAAAAAATATAATATAAAATTTGGATCATTTGGCATAACTCTAAGAATAATAAAATATCACTATCTCAGTACTGGTAGTAGTTCTTTTTCGAGGTGTAGGTCTAATACTAGTATTTTTGCGACATTAGCTTTGCAAATGTAGGACAGAGGTTTGGAGTGATCATTTTGCATTCCACATGTGTAATCTGAGTCATGTTTGTGTGTATAAAAGCAAAGTTTATCATTACAATTTCCAGAAAAAATATCAAAATGTGGATTACGTCGCTGTGAATAATAGACATACAAGTTTTCCATTAAAGCTTGGTTTCTATACAATTGCTACACTGTTGCTATAGTGTTTTCAGTGCAATCGTTGTGCTTCATAGCAGTCTCAGACGCACTCGGTAAGGCTCCCTGATTCCACCGACCATTTAGGGAACCAATCTTAAACTGTAGGCCAATATTCATTTGATGTTTGAAAATATTTTAAGGCATATAGATATTCTACATTAGCTGAATAAATTTAATTATTTTTATTGAAATTTACTTATCACCAGTGTTTTATGTTTTCTTCTAGTTGCGGATTTTACCCGGCAAATATCGGATCTCTACAAACAACACGCAAATAGTTTACAGAATATAGTGCATATATTTCGACACAGTAATGACAAAATGAAAGACAGGTATGTACCTTGCATTAAAAAAGAGTGCTTTTATCTATCTGACTGCCTTGATTTTGTATGCACACAATGAAACGAAAGAAAGGTACTACCCCATTTAATGGGGCGCCCTATTAGAATGCGAATAGAGTTTGAAACTCAAACATGCATTCTATGGATGCAGCACACGTTTGATACGAACAATGACTTTTAACTGTACAGGAAAAAATGTTTGATACACACACCTTTTACCGTATTTTGAAGGACGCCCTCTAGTTCGTGGTAGTACTTTTTGAGATATGATTGTGTTTCTATGAATCCCAGAGAGTCGAACCTCTTGTAGTTCTGTACTCTTTGATTGAACTGACAAGAATGATTTATCGTCAACTTGTACAAGTTGGTGAGCACTTTTGGTTACTGTGGAAATTAGTGTCTGCCAATTTATGTCAAATTGAAAATAGTTACCATTAGAGTTTTGAAAGTTTTATATAAAAAGAATAATCATCTTGAATACTTTATGAATAAATATGGACAGTGAAAGCATCTTAAGCATGTATTCATATTTACATTTACACATTACTATTAAGGATGTACAATTATCAAAATCAAAGGGCCGTGTCAACAATTTTTAGCAGACATTATAAAGTGATGCAAGTTTATTCAGATATAGGAATTAGTTGCTAAATTTTATTCATGTTATGTCTTTTGGCAAAGGTTTTAATATTATTACCTAATAATAATAATAAAAATAGTAGTATTTTATAGTGCATAATGCAAAGGCCTCCAGGCAATTCACATTATTATGCTGAAACAAAGGCAGAATATGTGACAGTATGGTCAGAATGGGTGATATGCTGTACGATGTGAAGTAATAAAGCTTGCGGGGTCGTCTGTCCACACTATTATTTATAAAGCTTTTATTGCCGATGGAGAGCTTGGAATTACATAAAAGCCATTGCATGTCCTGGGACGTTCATATGCTATACTGTACTCAGCTCCCTGGGAAATATTCCATTGTACTCTACTGTACCATGCACCCACTCTTCTTAGTTAATGACAGATAGCAATGATAGTGTAACTTATTAAAGTGTCTGTGTGGATACCAATCATTGTGGGGACATAGTTCTTCCTTGGGGTCTAGATGACAAAAACTTGAATTTCGTACAAAACAAAATTGAATGAAAAATAAAATTACTGTATAATGAAGAATTATGTACAAGAAGTGAATATATAGTGCTGTGAATATTTGATGGTGACCAGATTGGGAATCTTTCTGAGTATTTTACATAATATGGGTTGGTTAAAAACTGTTATGCTTGAAATTTCTCCTTTTATTTACTTATTGTTATATTTCATCCTTTGTTTAGTTAGTATTTCCTTTTTTTGCTTTTACTTCCAAGGAAAGAACAACTCCATGAAAACTACAACTTTATGAAAAAAACATTCTGTTATTGTTCACTGTGCCATAGAAATTTCTCCTTCCCTCTTTCCATGTATTGTACTTAACTACTTGCTAAATTCCTAGTGGATTAAAGTAATAGTGATCAATTCAAAGAAATTGCCTATACAGTACATCATCCGGGTGTTTACTGTTGCAGTGTAACAAATATGTATTTCTAAATATTGGCATATAGTATGCCATTCAAATTATTGCTTTAGGTTAAGATTTTTTTTCATAAACTCTTGGAATAACCATAATACCTCCTTGGAATAACCCAGATGGTAAATACCACCATGCTTTGTTAAGATGGGTGCAACATTTTGATATTTGCAATATTGTATCAACGCAAACTTTTGTACATGTTTGACTTGTAGCATTGTTTCTTGTACATAATTGTAATATTTAAGTGCTTTGTTCATTTGGTCATTTGATACATAATCATGAACAATGAGCAACCTCCACTCGCGGGGGGGGGGGGGGGTGCTCGCTTAGCCAGTTTTGAAATTCGGCCTGGACCAATTTAATTCTAAATCATTTACAATATGCCTGATGTCAAATTCTGACTGAAACATGCTGTAATTTTTGATGTGGAGTGTCAGTCTACCAGTTGGTGTAGGCCGATTTTACTATAAATATAATACATACCTTGACTGGCACAATCACCTTGCTAGTGGCAGAGGAGGAATAGTGGCAGATTTAGGAGGGGGAGGGGATATCCTTTCCTACTTTCCTTCCTCCCTCTGTTTGGCTAATGTGAATGTGTGTGAAAATACTATTTTTGGTTTATGGTAATTCACTAGGATTAACACAGGAAACAATATAAACGGCAGTCATTCCATAGAATCCATAACTCTGCCATATGTGCCTGAATACCAACAATAATTACTTTTATCTCCATTTTTCATATCTTGTGCTTATGTTTGATTGATGTTTTAATATTAGCCTACATTTTTTTTGTAAATATCATATAATTCAGCCTTTACTGTGATTTTCATTTGAATAAAAGAAGATTCAGTGAACATTTACTTGGTACTCAAAAACACCAGAAGTAATCAACTAGTACACAAAAGAAAACAGTTTCTGTCGGTGTGTACGCCTACAAACATGTAATTATCAAAAACAGTGAAAAAAAAAAACCCAATTGGTTGATCCAAAAATATTGCAAATAATCATAATTGGTGACAAATCAAATTTTCAAATGATGCATGCATTTCATTTTTGTTTCTGAGATTGTGGAATTATCATGGTATTATCATACGTAGAGAAAATATTTAGAACACGTTCTGGTAATTCGCCACATTTGACGTTTGACATCAATCTTGTGACATTAAGTTTGTAATTGTTATGGATATTGAGTATTTTTAATTTTTTAAGTTTGAGAAGGTTATAACCCTGGCAGATTTTTTTAAAAAGTTTCCAAAGGTTTTCCAGTGTACTTTTGTAGGTGTTCCCAAGATAAGATTCCCATATTGGAGATGGAATAATATCGAAGTGTTATATAAAATTATTACAATATGAAACTGAAACTGATAAGAAAAATAAGTGAGCCGTGTGTGAGGGGCAAAACTGCAGCATACCCTCAAGAAAATAATGCAGTCATCGTATTATTTTCATGAGTGCTATGTGAATTCAAGGGGTGATTCCATTAGTTTCTCCTATACTTGAGGGTAAATAATTGAATTTCCGTGACCTTGGCCTTACCCTTCGACATTTTGAAAATTGAATGGTGTCTATACCATTCCACAAAATTTACTGATAATCCATTTGTTAGTTTTTGTGTAGTCTAAGACAGACAGAAGACAGAAAAAAGTGAATACGTAATCCTTGGTGGAAGTAGCAACTTGCAAAATCTAGTGAGAAGATGTGCCAGTAGGTGCAGACATATTGTACAACGATAGTTTTATGAGGCATACATTGTACCTCTACTGTACAATCTAAAAAATTGCTTTTTAATGTCTTTAATATTCAACACAAGTAGCATACAGTATTATAACACAGTCAGCCAATGCAGCCTTGATTGAAACACAGACTAATGACATCAGTCAGTACTTCTTCTATGAAAAGACATTATAAAGCCATCATACTGGCTAATCTTTTTTGCTAAACTAATTGCTATCTCTTATAGATTGAAAGAAAGGACATCGTTGTTAAGGTGTTGGGATGCCATGTTGGAAGAATACCAGGCAGCTGTACAGGTAATCAAGACGTTTTGTTCATCCTCCGCTTAGTCCGACATAGACCTTCCATTTTAAATTTAAACATACTGAGCATCTGTCTCTGTGACTGGCTGGAATACTAATTGTATTTATGTTCATACTCATCCTCTGATCATAGTGGAACTTGTGAAATTTGGTTTGTCCACACTATAGTATCAAGTTTCACATTATGGACATGATGCGATATCCTTACATGGGCAAATTACATATGTGGCAAAGACAAGCCAAACCAGTCACTCGTCGCAAATTGTGTTACAGAGAAAATGGCCAAAACATGCTGGAATGTCAAATTTAAAAAAATCTATTTTATTGCACTAAACTAATTTTTATATATCTATACATCATTCTATGCTGTTATTTTCCCCATTTTCAATGTTAAAACCACACATTTTAAGGATTAAAGATAGTTTCTGCATGAGAAATGCCTGAAATCATAAACTTTGAAGGCTGATTTCTCATATATTGTTCTTTAAACAGCTGTGTGATTAAACGCTTGTAACTTCATAAGGAAATGTCCGATTTGAATTATTTTTTTACCATTTTATAGCTATTATTTTACTCTCTAGCACTGTATTAATAACTCAAAAATCGATTTTTGCGACGAGTGACTGGTTTGGCTTGTCTTTGCCACATATATTTTCATAAGTGTGGACAAAGATATGCTTCCATGTTAGTCTCAGTGTCTTTGTTCCTATCTCATGTTTAAAGAAAACCTCCACTTTCTATAAATTCAATTAATGAAGCAGTTTATATAGTTCCATTGTGTAATTGGTGAGTAAAGTGTATTCCTATTTTCTATCATATCGAATCATTCTTTATTAAAAACAATAAAAACTGTGACATAAAACCCAGGTCATGGCTTAATCAGGCACATGCCAGGTGTGAACAACAAAATAATAATAATAATAATAATGATAATAATAATAGTAATAATAGATAGTAGATTTTTAAAATGCAGACATCCTCCTTATATGGTCAATATCCTCTGTTCCATTCTTATAAATGGAAAAGTATTGCATCATTACAAAAAAAATTTTGATTGATTTGTTTCATGAGTAAACATGTACTTAGTTGATGAGTTAATCACGCGAGTCTATGATAGTTTCGATTGCCTTTTGAGGATACTCAGTGGGCATCTGCTAGATCATCACTGACAAATGTGTCACGTATGTAATCTGTGTTTGAAACTGACACCCTAGCAAGATTAGAACAATCTCGAAACATGTCATGAGCTAATTGAATAATATTGTGCCTGTGATATACACCGGATGCTGATAATTCCGGGTGAAAGTCTTGGGTTTTGTTTTAGTGCGGAGGAAGAGACTTTCTGATATTTAAAATGACTAAATTATTTCATTTGTTTTGAGAAAATATATATATATATATATA